CCTTAACGTCTTTCCCCCGGACATAAAGATTCAAGTGTTATATAGCCCTATGTATGTATCGTGTATTTGTCGTGTATTTTTCCTGTGTAAAGTGTACATATTTTGTTGAGAAATAAAGATTAGAACTTTAAGATTAAGATCTCCTGATGATGATCCATGTCGTGGGCTCGTAGCGGCAAATCGACTTTCTGAAGGAATCTTACATATCTTGGTTCTAGTCACAGCTCCTATTTCTCAGCTGGTCCCTCGCGCTCCCGCCCAACAATGTGTTGATAAGGCGCGTCATTAACTCGCACATATCAACCCCTTTACTCTTCATTTATACAGAGATTTCAAAATAAGCAAGCAGCACAACAAGAGAATTCACGATCCAACACTGCGAGGTCATCGACGCACCTTGACAAGACCGTGTATTGTGAATGTAGAAAGTCATTCGAACGAGTTTACGTTTTTTGATCTGCCTCAAGCAAAATCTTATCATATTCTTGAAGAAAAGTGCTACGGAATGATTAAAGCGAAGATAGGAAACATTCTGTCGAACTCCTGAAAGATAAAGTCCATTTAAAGGTATTTGGGGGCGAAAATACCCAAATCATCGGTATTATAAATCCCGTTATATTATTGAAAAGAAATTGGCTCTCTTTAAATGCAAATGCATTGAATATGTCTTGATTTTGTTATTTTAAACGTATTTCCATGCAAAGAAGTTCAACCATGTCGTTGCTTTATTCATTCATGAATTGAAATTGAGCAATCTACATCCCGAAAATCTACTGATTTGCCGTAAAAAATTTCAGAAGCTTGATACCTATACGAGGTCGATGCACCCACTCGTTGAATTTACCAACCAATTTCGTGAGTGCAAATATGTCAAAATCAATATGCTATGGTCATTTTGGGTGCATTTATTTTTCATGAAACAATAATAATTTCAATCCCGAAAAACCATCCATCGAAATGAGTCGACTCCCTGACGTGAAAATTAGATTCTACGTGTAAAAATACGTACGTATCGATTTTAGCCGCTTTGCCTGCCTCTCCTCGTTATTTACAAACCGTTTCTATGTTCATCTCAAAATTTTTCTCAGAGCTTTGTGTTATTATCAGCTTCTATTTAAATCCCGGTTCGATGACAGAATCGGCTGCCCAAAAAGCAAGCCATTTTTGAAAGGTTCTATGAGAAATTCGTGATATTATCGGCTCTCAGGAAATCACCCCATGGCTAAAATTGGGGGTATAAATGTTTGAGTGCTTAAAATAATCATATTCAAGAAACTAAGGCATTAAACTATGGAGTCAATTTCTTTTTAATAATATAAAGGGATTTACTACCGGTGATTTAGCTATTATATCCCCAGAATACTTTTAAAGCACCTTTACTTTCCAGAATCTAGACAGAATTTTTTTTTTGCTTAAACGATTTAAAAGACACTGTAGTTAAAAAATATGAAGAATTTTCGATTTTGACAAAAAAAATGTTCGTTCAGGTACACCGTGTGTTGTATGGAGTACTGCTGCTATTCAACCCTTGTTATCAGGTGAAAATTCTTACGAGGAAGCCCCTTGCAAGAGGCGAATATTTTGTAATTTTTTGTAATTTCTCTCAATTTTTTCTCCGTTATATAAAAAAATTGCTTGTCAAATTCTGAGGTCAATTCTATTCAATTGTAATTTATACATTTCTTTTTTTCCCTTCATTTTATTTTTCATTAGAGAAATCGAGGTTTCAATGATTTCTTCGGATTTCAAATAATGTAACTTCTCTTCTAACGGCCGATTTTTATGAATGCGGCCTCGCTTTATTCCTGTTTTAACAGAGAGTAAAGAAAAAATTGCCAAATACATGCGAAACAATTATTTTTTAAAATTTCCCATGATCCCAGCGTGACGGTGAAATGTGTAATTGAGTGAAAGTTATTAGATCTGACTTCGGCGAGGGTCGCCTTTTGTTCTTCAGCTGGGAAGCGACGCGGCGAACCGAGCCACGATCGGGACACTGCCAGGATTTGTGCCTGCTTGTGCTCTGTTTTGGCCTGATAGGGGAGTGAATTTCTGTATGGGCCACGGTTAGCTTATGAATCTAATGAGTCTTGAGGCTCATCAAAGATTGCACTTACGGCTGTCCTGCCTGGCCCTGGCTATCAGAGCAGTGGTACCAAATTTTGAAAAGCATAACAGGGGTGTACATATCTGTCTATGCAACGTTTTAAACAAAACGGAAGAGTGACATTCTCATTGGAAGAGTGCCGACTTGCTCAGCAATCCTCGAATCAGTTCGTTTCCTTCTACTTATATATGCATACGAGCCGTTCTGGGCGCGCTTCGCGCGCCCGCCACGCCTAGCCCGGGGGGCTGCACCCCCTGGACCCCCGGTCACTCGCTATGCGAGTGACATTCGGCCTGCTTCGCGAGCCGATTTTGTAGTAGTTGCAAATTTTTTATCACTATATTTTGAAGATATCATAGAAAACATTATGAAATTCTCACTCCACGATTAACTTGTAGAATAATAATGGCAGGGCAAGAAATAG